TCCTCATAAATGGTGATTGTGGTTGGCAGTGGATTGATAGCGAAGGAAAGACCCCACTAATTGCAGCTTGCATGAATCCAGAACTTTATAATGTCGCAAAAACACTTATAGAATTGGGTGCCAATGTCAATGCTTATCGTCCAGGTAGATCACTGTGCTTATCGTTTCAGCTTAGAGATTATCCAGATTCTTTTATGTTTATATATTGATAATATTGCTTCCGAGGAAGTTTTGAAATTATTGAAAACGATGAAAATTAACTTATTATATATCTGCGAATCTGCGATGACCGAGAATCGTTGTTTAAGTCCACTAGATATCATCTTTCCTCAGCATTATTACTTGATTTTCTGGTGCTCTGTTGTGTAATTCCTTGTCATTATTTAATTTTCTTTCAAAGGTCGTCACGCGGGAACTCCTCTGCATCATGCTGCTAAAAGAGGGCTCGAGCAGACTGTGAAGCTGCTCATTTCAAGTGGAGGTGTGTTTCACACTGCTGTGGTTATTATGCGATTTTTCGCTGTTTTCATTTTAACAGATGTCTATTATTGATGGAAACATCAGCAAATGCCCTGGTGATGAATGATGATTGCCAGACACCTCTCGATGTCGCCAGAGCTAAAGGGTACACTAATGTAGTGCGGGCAATTGAGGTAATTCTCTGCCTGCTGATTAAAATATGTTTTATTGCAATACCGGTTAAACGCAGTTGGGTTGACGTTTATAAACTAATAAAGGAAAGCTGAACTTATTTCCTTGCGATGCTTAGGCACATTTATGCTTATTCTCCGGTTGGCTGAGAGAATATTATGGGCCAGGCTTTCTGGAGCTTCTTGCTCCACAATTGCTTTCAAGAAAAGTGTGAGTAGAATGCTCCTATTATTATCACCATTTGAGTACAAGTCCATTTTTTTGGAATTATTTTTTCTTTAAAAGATATGAACAACTGTGAATTTGCGGTAGTGAGTCATGTTATTTGCTGCATGAAGCGTTTTTTTATTTTTTATTTTTTTTCAATTACTCACCAGGCAGGGAAGCCTTCTCTTCTATTCTGAAATGAAACTATTAGTGCAATGATACTTCTTTATTTTATGACTTTGATCTCTTGTAATTGTGCATACTTTTTTGTCAATATTTTTATGCACGTAGATGGGTGGTTATTGTGCCTTGTGGTTCCCTTAATCTTCGAAGACCTTTCAAGTTGGAGCTTGCAATATATGCTGGTGCCCAGGTTCCTACATAGCTTTATTTTTGCTGGCATTTTAATGTTATTTATGTATTTGTATCAACCAAAATCGTGTTTATATAATGTAGAATAATTAATCCTTAAAAAAAAAATTAGGATGCACAGCCACGTACAATTGTTCCGCTGTGGAAGGCCAACCTAGAGGAACCGAATTTTAACCAGCCTGATCCAGCAGCTATTATATCAGACGTCTCCAGAAGTAAGTTTTCAGTTCTATTATCCATTATCTTCAAAATCTGTGTAATGCTAGACAGGTAATCACCTTTGTATCTCTATGCATAGTCCGAAAACGCTGGAGAAGAAGGCGGGCCATTAAGTCCTCCCAAGAGGCGAGGCGTAAGTCAAATTGAATTTTATTTTTGCTAAACCTAAAAGGATCAACCTTCTAGATTCCTGCACACCTTTGATTATCATTTGATCAAAATCATCAATACATGCTTGAGTTTGGAGAGTGATGTCAAAGTTGTTCTGTCCCTGGATCTTCTGTGTTGGGACATTGAGAGGAACCTTTGAGAGAGAGTGTGAATTGTGACTAGGATTGCCAATATATTGTTCTAGACTTCCCTGTCAAAATGGTTTTTTCTATTGGCAGATTAATGTAACATTCCGATTTATTGTGCTGAACATGCGTGTTCTTAATTTTTGCCCGGTGTTGCAGATACACGGATAAAACTTGCAGCCGCATCTGAGAGTGAGAAACAGCAGTTGCAGTGGTTTTGTAATGCATGCAAAGGAATTCCGCAGGTAAAAATGATTTTGATCTAGCTGCAATACCTAGAGTTTTTGTTTTAGTGGAACAAGATTAGCTATTTCCAAATTTTAATACAGGTCACGTGAATCCAGCATAGACTAATTGCTACTCATCTTCCAAAATTACATAAAACTAACCCTGTAATATTTAAAGATTTGCCCCTTTCTTCAGCAAAAACCATTTCTAATACCTCTTGGCAATTACAAAAAATAATGCAACTACAGCTCCTTAATTATTAAAATGAACCAAATATTGGGCATTTCTTGTTATTTTTTGTTGTGTTTGTGTTTCATTACTTTTTCGTGTTTAAGTCAAACCTCAAGGATTAATTTTTCGTGATAATCCTCTTAAAAGTAAATACTAATGATTTAGAAATTATAGGACAATCAGGTGAATCCTTTAAGAATCGGGATCCTTGATTAGACAGCTGAAATATGTGCACATGCAAGTGTACATGTTCAGTTACGCTAAACTTAGTAACTAAACCAAATGCTTCACTGTAATCGTACTTCCAATCAGTTACAAACAATCTGTTCATCCGTTATTCCCATTTGAAAACCAATAATCTGTTATAAACAGGCTGTTCATCCATTATTTCCATTTAACAACCAATTCTCAAGTGCACCTGCAACTGCTCCTCCATCCTCGGAGGACGATGAACTAGCCATGGCCATCAATGCTTCCCTTCAGTCGGTCTCCCATGAAGTGCCGCCATCTGTGAGCCAGATTTCAGCCACCAACACAAACCATGCAAAGAGCTATACTGGCGAGCCCTCCACTGTAAGCCCGGAAAATGGAGGCAAGCCTGATGTTCTAGAAGCCGGCCCATCTCAGATGGACAGGCCCGAGAATCCCTGTCCTATTTCCCTTCCGTCGGCTCCTGCTGTGGGCCCAGCCACGGATGATGGCCCAATTCAGTATCCCACAGTCGATATAACCACAGGTGGGGCCCACGAGAGGAAAGAAGATGGTAGTGGTTCATCTTGTACGATATGCCTAGACGCGCCTCTCGAGGGAGCCTGTGTTCCATGCGGACACTTGGCGGGTTGCATGTCTTGTTTGAGTGAGGTGAAGGCGAAAAAGTGGGGCTGCCCAGTGTGCCGCGCGAAGATTGATCAGGTCATAAGGATTTATGCTGTTTAGTGGCCTGGTTGACTAGTCGATGGAGAAATTGTCAGTTGGTGAGTTTCTTTTCTTTTTCTTCAATTGAAAAATCATTTTCCAACACCAGAGATTACTTGCATTTTTTTTTGTTTTCTTAATAATAATTTGGAAAATCTAGTGATGATTACATAATTTTCCGCAGAAGTTTATTACTGGACATGAAGTGTCGATTTTCTACACATCTAGAGACAAGAACTGGGAAATGGGTATGATACTTTGGAGAATTAACTTCTGTGGAAATTTTATTTTGTCTTCCTTTCGTTGGATGTGGTATGGATTTATAAATGTTCGTCAATTTACATTTGTGTAATTACTAATGTATAGTACAAGAAATAATACCACATTTTCATCACTTTTCTTGTGTGCAAAGTACTCATTCGGATTATTAGTGAATCCATACTATTCCATCACCTCGTCGAATCTGATGTTTGAAGACCTCAAACCTTGCTTCAGGTCAATCCTCAAAGCTTGCTTCAGTTCATAAATTGACCGCTTTAGCTTATAAATTAGATGTTCTTTGCCCTTTGCCCTTTGCCCTTTGCGATGAACTAGAATGTGTTTTTTAGAACTTTCGTGTACAAAGTTGTCTTCATATCCATTTTCCAATTCTCATAATCCATATGAGCGATCACAACTGCATGATGGATTTAATCATAGCTACCGGTGAAAAAGTCTCTTCATAATCGATCTTTTCTTCTCGAGTGTACCATTTCGCTAAAGACTTAGCCTTGAACATCGGTGATTGTACTATTTCGAATTGTCCACAAAAATATCTTAAGCGTAGCAGATGTAGAGACTAAGATCGAAGGATAATAGTTTTACATTTTGCAGACTTTAATTAAGTTGACCTACACGGTCTACGCAACTGGACGAGCTGCCCTCGTTTGGCCTCGGGATCTTCTGCTTTATTCCCAAATCTGGACATCGAATTCGATTGTCTTCGTGGACAACAAAATCCAAAATCATCCTCAAAGACTCGCTCGATCGCTTGGGAGAAAGAAAAAAGAAGATTTTGTGTTTCTGAACAATATCTTTTTCTCTCTTTCATTAAAATCACGATTTTTTTCACAAGAACTCAAACTCTCATTTTTTTTCTCTATGTGAAAGTGGAGATCGAAATTACTTGAGGGATGGTGTTTATATATGCTATAACAGGGAACTTGAGGAAGTATTAAATTGGGACTCCTCTTATGATTAGATGTTCTTAGGTTTTGATCCACCTACTCCCAATACACAAGAATAATATTATATTTAATTAATGTAATATTATTGAAACTTTCTATTTAACTCCCAAATTATATTTGAGGCTGAAGTTTCATCTACTCGATTTCTCTGGTCATGTTTAAGATATAATGTCCGTATATTAATTTAATTACTGACAATATAATCAATTAATCTACCTCAACCTTATTATTATGTCGGAACTCATTCCACATGCAGGGATTGTCATAATAATCCTCTTGAGTTCATTTTGAGGACATCATCAATCTGGCGAACCAGGACACAATGTTCGTAGATAATCGAACAACACACTATACAAACAACATTATTTACCAACTCACCTAGACTGTTGATTTAGCATAATAAATCTTAACTTTTTAGTGAATCAAAGAAATACCTACTGAGTACATGTTCATATAATTATCTTACATATTAAGAGTATGAGTAATAACCAAGGTCTAGTTTATATAGTTGGTCATTACAAAATAAACTTATTCTCCGCAGATCCGTTCAATACACTCTAAGTGTACTCTAGTGTAATTCATTAGTCAAGACCAACTAATTACAAAATTACACTACAAATGATCACGATAGTTAGTCCAATTCTATCTAGGTTGTGAACCATACTATATATTTTACAAAGAATCTATAATAAGATTTTCTGTCCACACGATTAACTGTGTTCTGTCCACACGATTAACTGTGTCTATCTACAATGTAAAACAATAGAACATAAACGCATTTAATTAATAATTATTCTAATCCACATAGAAATAAATTTGTAACAAAGTGAAGCTTTTAGTATACAAACGAACACAATCATGAACTGCCGCCGGACAAACACCACCGCTGGAGTGTCGTCGTCGTCTCTGTCACTCGTCGACTATCTCATCGCATGAGTGTTGTTGTCTTGTCGCTTGTCGACCCTGTCATAGGTCGCGCGCATGCATGTGTCATCGAGATACCTAAGGTCCTTCTGTGGGTAGCCTGGGGTCGCCGACTATGCTGAGCTTCTCGCGCTGATCACTAGGGCTCGCTGCTCGATGCACACACTAGCTAGGTTGCCACACGACGATTGTGCGCATTGATGTGCATGGAAAATCGATCCAACAACCCCCACAAGATTATAAATAATTAGATTATATGAAAAATTAAAATATTTATGATTTTTTTCAAATGTTGTTTTTAACTTTTTTGGTAACTGAAGTATTCTTTTCCACAGCCCCACAAGACTTCAAACGAAGCATAATTTCCAAGTAATCAAATAAATAGAAATTTGGCGTCCCATTCATTGTTGTCGACGGTTGCGGTAATCTTGCCATTGGAGCTTAATATTTGACCCCATTTCCAAGCTTTACCATTAATAGACTAATATATTCATTCAGCTGTGTAGAAAATTAATAATTATTCACCCGCTTGTCCACATCAATAGCGTTTACCTACTCATACTCATTCATTTGTCACCACTCATTCCCTTTTAAAAAATTGTCGTTCTTCTTACGCAGAAATTTTCATCACTTTTCAACGAAGTATTTATACAACTACTATGTAGCGAGTGCTATGCATGAGACAATCATGATAAATTCTATAAGTTAAAATAATGAAAGAATATTGATTAATACAAATTATGTTTGAATAGTAATATTGTTTTTTATTTTATATTTATAATATATAATAGTTAAATATACGATTTATATATTTATTTTACCTGTCATAAAAAAACTTTCGTTTAGAGTTTTTATTTAGAATTATGAAACATGAAAAATTAACACATTATAACATTGTTAATAAATAATACTCAAAAAAATATATTATTAGTTTGATTTTTTTTTATTTATAAATAAATGATGGTAAAGTTAAAAATTTTGACAAATATTGCAAACCTAAAATTAGTTTGAAAATAATGTAGTATATACTATTTTAAAGTTATAAAATTTATTAATTTTTTAATTACGTCAAAATTTTCTTCTTATTATTTTATAATTTAATAAAGTATGTTATAACTGTTTTGATTTTTCTTTCTAATCTAATAACTCACAGGGCAATTCAACACCAGTTGATTTATTATTAAAATTTATAACAGTACACATTATAAATATTATATATTTTTTTCCTATGCTCAATTTGCATCGTTCTTCGATGGGTGACTTATTGGTTTATAAATATTATAATTTATGACAATATACATATAAATATTTTTTATTCGTTTTTTTCTTTTAAGTTAATAATTTACATGTTCGACAGATGATCCATTGGTTTGCCATCATAATTTGTAACAATAAATATTATGAATATTATAATTTTTTTTAAACTTATAATTTAAATGGCAGTTTGAAGATGACTCATGGTTTATATCATTTATAGCAATACATACTATAAATATTTTAATTTTTCATAATCTAATTATTTACAGACAGTTCGACACGAATAACTTAAGACTAATCTCTTATTTGTAGATGCATATTAAATAAAAAAAATTGAAGTTCTTTTTTTATATGTATTAACTTATAAACTTATTCATACTTTAAAAATAGTTATTATTTATATAAACATAATATATGAATGACAAATCGAATATCCTAAAATGAAAGTTAATATGATATATATAAATTGATAATAAATGAATATATTATTAAACTTTTAAGAAGAAAAAACAATATTAATTAATAAGAACAACAGAAATATAAAAAAGTAGACAACATATTGAAACTAAATATAAAAAAATAGTTATGAAATTTTCTCATATATGCATTTTAATTTCATATATTTTTTAACTTTAAAATAGTTATTCTTGGAGTGATTAATATAATATATATCCATATAGTTTATATTTTGTGAATCAAATAATATTCTAGATTAAGTGAAAATTGAATAATGAATTATATATTTTTTTTAAAAAAATTAATATTAAATTATTGATATCATATCACAAAAAGTAAAAATAAAAATAGATTAGATATAAATAAACTAATTGATTTAAAATTTTTAGAAGGTTATTGAATAGATTAGATCACTTATTGATATCATATTATCTGATATAAAAATAAAAGTCTCATCACGGATGGTAAATAAAAATTATCAAAATAAAAATAAAAAAATAAAGAAGAATGATTAAAAAAAAATTTAGTAATCAAATTTTATTTAACGATAACAACCTTCTATTTCTAATAAATTCAAATATTTATATACATATATAGATTGCATGTTAGTACTCCGTTCCGTTGTAATAAACAATTGCCACCATCGGCAGTGTGGGAGGATGAAACTCGGAGGGGCCAACATGAAGTTGGGGGGGGCTAGCAAGAAGCAATCACTTCGGTGGGACCCTGCGGCTGGATAAGTGGGCCAACTTGGAGCTGAGAGAGCCAACGAGCAATCATTTGGGGATCGACTCCTTATGCGCGATAGTTGAGGGTATGAAGTTAGGAGCCATTGTGTGGCTACCGCGGTTTAACTGGGGGCAGTTTCTGAGGAACCGGGAACTGTTTCCTCGAGGACTAGTCAGGCGCAAGCCTGGAACCTCGGTATTAAAATAAAAAAAATAAAAATAAAAATAAAATTGCCACCATATGAAGGGAAAGAAAAAGAAAGAGAAATAAAAAAATGGTAAGAAAAAGAAAAAGGTGAGCTAAAAAAATAGTGAAAAAAATAGCAAGGGAGGACATTTAGGTCATTGGAGGAAAAAGGTGATGTCAATCAACGCAAAAGCTTTTGTCTGATAGATATATAGGTAAAGGAAACAAAATCATATAATTTGTTTTTTAACCCCTCTCAGCTTTTCCTGTCTCCATCTACCCCTTTTCATTTCCACAAAGCCCTATCTCAGGTCCCCTTCATACTTATTCATCCTAATGCCAATTATATACACACACACACACACACACAAAAGCTTCTCTCTCAACGCAGCTACCACTCCCAACTCCCTTTTCTGGCAAATAGAAAATTGATCTTCTAAACCTCAGTCGTCGTTCACAATTCTTTAAACTTGCACAGATATTCCAAAATCGATCAAAAGCAAACGCCAAATTCGTCAAGGGGAAAAAAGGATAGAGCAGAGAAGAAGCTTGGTGATCAAGAAAATCTTGCGACCAAAAGCTTCTCTCTTCAAAACCCTAAAGCTACACAAATCACTCTATTTCTCTCTCTCTCTCATTAGATCTTGAAGATCAGCTGATGGATCCAATATCCCCGGAGATGAACATGAACATGAACATGAACTCCCCCAACAGTACCGAGACGAGCAGAAGCGCCCCCTCCGGCGGCGGCTCGTCTTCCTCCTCCGGGACGACCCTGAGCCGGTACGAGAACCAGAAGCGCCGGGACTGGAACACGTTCGGCCAGTACCTTCGCAACCACCGGCCGCCGCTCTCCCTGGGTCGGTGCAGTGGGGCCCACGTGCTGGAGTTTCTGCGCTACCTCGACCAGTTCGGGAAGACCAAAGTCCACAACCC